GATATCTGACATTTTTTCAGGTATTTTTGTGCACCTCAAATACAAACCAAACTGTACACGCACTGAAATCGATGCTGAAATGCTGGTTCTGCCTTCACTTATTGAAAGCAATGGGAAGAACTTCAGCTGATGGCAAAAAGAGGCGGAGCTGGGCTCAGGTTAAGAAATATTCCAGTTAGACATATTTAGATCTAATCATCGTGTTAATCCCTCTGTATATTGCATGCTGGGCTGATGGCAGCATTCCACTCCCACACTCCTTACACACAAAATGAGTTTGTGACCATGCCGCACGCCACTCTCATTTGGGATAGCTTTTTTCAACACTGTATTTAAAGAACAATTATCTCTGATCCTCATGGCTTCAAAATCAAAAGGCTTAAAATTTTAATGGTAATGCTCAGTGTTTCTGAAGTTCTATTGATGAAACACCGATCCAACTGGCCTGTAAGGCAAAAAGATGCCATCCTGCAGCTCACTCAGTGCATTTACAGGAAAATAGTGCAAATTACTTACTTTTCTTCACAGCCCTTCCTGTATTGGCTGGCCTCTCTCAAATAAGCAAAAATAAGTGCTGTGCCAAAAACAGCAGAAGGCAAGAATGCTTCTGTTAAAACCTGATTTAATTCTAATAGTGCTCCCAGACCAAACTTCCTCTCCGGAGGAGAGGTAAAACAGGGACGTGCACAAACCCATGGTGCAGGATAAAGGATGCCGAAAAAACAATACACAGCTTTATTAAATCATTACATGGGTTGCCAAACAAGTAGGTAAGAACCTAAAGATAGTGAGACGAACATAGCAACACTTTTACGTCAACCTGTACAGGACCAAAGTTAGAGGAAGTGCAGAGGAACAAAAACAGCACTTGTGAAATAGCAACCAAACCCACATAAACAAGGCCACATACAATATAAAAGGCCTGTTATCAAGCCACATGGTTATAAAACTAGTTGTTTCTATTTAAGAGCAGCTAATGGCTTGCATAAGCTACTATCACTGTTTGGCACTATCATTCATTTTTCAGCATGGAGTGCTCTGCTCCAAAAACTACAAACACTGAGAAAAGTGAGATGTAAGGATATTTAAATACCCAACTAACATTGAAATATACAGAAATCTGGCAGAACGCTAGAAAGTACAAAATGACTGTGTCTTTACCTTTAGTCTTTGGACTTCCAGAAATAAATAGATAAGAATTTCATCAACATACTGAAAATGCGCCAGTCAACCTGCAAGTTATTGTTATTTAACATGACTTCCTTTGTTTCAAGCAAACATTAATTAAGAACTAAAAAAAGTCTAGAAATGTTTCTAAAGGCACAGTGTTTCAGTGATCATGTGTGCAGATAGTTCTCCCAGTTATCTCATCAAGGATAACCTTCTATGCTACTAATGACCACCAAGTTTAATTAAGACGTTTTAAAATTTAGAAAAACAAATTCAAAGACCTTCAGCTAGAGCATCTATTCCACCACTCCATGTAATCCTTAAAGCGTGTAACAAAATTCATCATGATCAATTACAATCCATTTAGCATAGCCTCCTACAACAGGGTTGTTGAGAACAGCTATGGCTTTTCCATGAATCTGTGAGATCCATTTTATATGGTATTTAACTCTCTTTTCTTGAACTAATTTCCAACTTCAAAAAGTACCAATGCAATAATTTCAAGGTAAATGGCTGATAAAAGAAAAAAAGAAATGCCTGTTATGGAAAATCACAAAAGCTATGGATGTCTTTCACTACTTTTTGCACTATCGATAGCTAATCAGCCTTTTGAAAGTATCATTTTTTTTCCTTTTTTTTTTTCAATCTAAATTTGATGTTACTGAATTTTGCCAAAAGAAAGTTAAGCAGTACAAGGACTGAAAGTAGATGCCTATCTCTACTCCCTGACATAGACAAAACGGAGCAAAACTCAGAAGCATAACAGATCAAATCTTATGGTATCTCTAGACTCACATGGAGAAATACAAGAAAAAAAAAGTAGGTATACTTCCACTGGAAGTATAAATAAATCACACAACTGTTGGCTTAAACCGTATTAGAATACAGAGCAAGTCAAACTTTACATTTGGTGCTCTTCCTCTATTTAAGAAATATTTATTATTTGAGTGATCCCAACGAGATTAGCATTAATAAAGATATTAGAAGCTGGATCATGATGAAGGAATAGCAGATAATCAAGCAGTAATCCATTTCTATTTCAGCAGGCAAGCAGACTGGGAAGAACAGAATTCTTAGTAGTATTTAAGTTTTTACTTAAGGAAGTAAAAGTGTTGCTTCCTTGGGGACACTCCTACAGCAGACATACCAGAAAAAGGTGACCTTTACATTACTGCTAGCACTAATAATAAAAACTATTCATACACTCCCCAAAACTGAGTTACATACCCCACAGTGCACAGAGGTAGACAGGTAGCTTCCTACCCAGAAAGCTTACTCTCTAGGCCAAGACAGGATATGTGGTTGAAATTGAAATTCAAGATTAAAAATAAAAAAACTGCATGAGCAGCTCTGCACAATGACTTAAAGGATTTATCCCTTTAGTCCTATCTTTAAAGTCATATTATACGCAATGCCCTGATCACAGAAGTTTCCCTCTTCCACATGTTGCGACAAAAGGGAGGTTTCAGGAGACTGCTCAAAGCTGCAGAAAGAATATTTGGCCAATTGTTCCCTCAAGAAATCACAAATGAATGGATAAAACTTTAAGACAGAAAGAATTTTTCTTTCTGGTTTTGGTAATGAGAGGCAAAGACAGATGTCCATCTACTCTCGCTGAGTGGAACAAGAAGTTTATTTCCCAGTTCTTCTGGAACAAGAGGGAAAAAAATAAGTTCTCTGAGAAATAAGATGGGTGCATGAATGAGTTCTATAAAACCAAGGCAAATAATATTAAAGTAGTTAACCCAATTAAAGCGAAGACTTCCAGAAGCTGACAGGGAAGTGCTGACAACCAGCAATCTTGCTGAGCTATGAGCTTTCCTGGCATTAGCAAATGAGCATGAAAAACCCATTTCATGCTTGCCTTCTGGGTACAAATACGAATACCTTGCCCTCCCAGCAACCTCTTCTCAAACACTGGAGGAAAGCTGTCACATCTGACTGCTGCAAAAAGGCAGATGAACTTTCTTAAACATCCCCATCATGTTTTGAGCAAAGCCTATAGCAGTGAAGCTCCCATTCCCAGCTGGAATGATTATCTACAAGGATTTTGTGGTGCACAGCTTTGCATCTAGGACTAGGATAGCGACACTGCCATCCTAGGTAAAACCAAGAGACCTAAACCACCTTAGTCACTCTAGTGTTAATTTGACAAAGTCACCAAATCTTGTAAGTGAGACAAAATTTTCCCCATCAGACTGCCGTTAAAGTCCACATAGCAGCAGGGGGTTGAGGTAGGTTTTGGTTCCAGCAAGGATTCTTATTGTAATGGATAATTCAATTTTCTTTACCTCCCCAGGGGGAATATGCACCAAAATACTCTAGTTATAGGTAAGATCTATGAGAATGAAGTAACAATAATAATTCATTAAACCAAATAGACTACTTTAAAAGTTTGACTGACCTACTCCTGCGGTACACTTCCAAAGTAGGAAGAAATTGCGAGGATAGAACAAAGTGAGGATTATGGGTGATAGGTGAATATGTGAAGGTAAATTATTATAGTTGGCAGAGTTAAATCAGAAGCAGGTTATGTAGATTAGATACTAATTTTGGGGGGGCAGAGGGGCTTTGGGGTGTCTAATGAATCATCCTTTCTGAGTTTGTCTGTTAATGCTTACAGACAAAAACACAAACATTCACTCCCTTTACTTTGAAGTTATATAACGCATCTGAAAATACCGTGCACTGTAGCATCACAGATCTGAGCACTTAAGCTATCACCAAATCCAGTTTCTACCAAGATGACCTGCGATAACTTACAAGTAGATTTTTTGTTTCTTTTTTCATTTCTTCTAAAAGACCGGTTGGCATTTTTGCTTGCTGAACCCTATTTTGAACCTAGCACCCCCTAGAACTACTTAAACCCCTCTCATATATCTATACATTAGATAGGAGATAAGAGTCATGAGTCAGTGGAAAGGATTATAAAAAAAGGGAGTTTCCCCTTCCTGCACACCCTTTACTTAGGAGGAGCCATAATAATCCAATAAAGGATTTTGCATTAAAGTGCTGAGATGTGAGTTACGCATTGGCATCTACATAGAGGAACAAAGATTTCTAGGAAGGTCTGATCAGAAATGTTAGCATAATAGTGTGGCAGTTGTCACAGTAGCCACAGTGGACACTAGTGTGACTGTTCTCTGTGAAAAGATGTTGTAAATCTAAAAACTAAAAACTAAATTGATTGCAGTTAATACAGTTTAATTATGATGATCCATGGCAATTTGATGTGGTGGCAACCTGTCCAAGGAACTGTTTTCTCTTGGAGAGCACTCCTGTCAGTTTCTCAAAGAAGAGTCAAGTAATGCATCCACTAGCAAAACTACATATGAGATAACTATAAGATGAACAAATAACAGAAGTCAGAGCATTCAATTACATTTTTAACCCTTTTTCATATGTCTCTTTGATTTTTCTCAAGTAACAGCTTATACTTTGAAAACATACATGCTACCTGATCTCTCAACACATTTTTGCATGCCGCTGTAATCGTGTCAAATACAAATTTGAAAAGTTTGCTTAAGACTGAAATATTTAAGGCAGGGAACAGGTCTAAGTGGGATGGTTTTGCTTTTAGAAGTTTGGAACAGGAACCTAAATACTGGGACTCAGGCATCATGCAGACAGCTGTAGCAAAGTCAACCTGAAGCCCAACTCAGCATTGCATGGAGATGGGGCACCTAGCTGATGGTAGAAACCCCACTTCTGATGCTGAAAAGGCTGCATCCCACCTCCCTGTACTTTTTAGCTTTAAATTACTGACAAATGACAGTAACACCCTATTTGAAACTTTGCATTAAACAGGCGGAGTCTCACAGCAACTCGTCTAAACTGGTTCCTGACATCTTAGCATTCCTGACACAACAATAGCTCTGTTGGCACCAGGCAGTGTAGCCACAGATGCTGCACGGTGGTGGGAGGGTGAGTGTCCTCTCAGAAGGTGGGCCCAGAGCTGTCCTGCTTCCCAATGGCTGCTCCAAAGGGCTCCTACAATTGCTGCAATCAGCCACGGCGGACTCTAAGAACTCACCTGATCCTTGCCAAGGTAAACACGGGGGCCAAGAGTATCTGAGGGACTCAAATCATGGTGGGCATGGGGTATTTTGTGAGTGGTGGAGCAGAGGAGGTGGAAGGACACGCATGAATCTGCAGTGAGTCCGACAGGGATGAACTCTGGGCTCCTAACAGCAAATTACCAACTCCCGGGCACTGTGGCGGGAGGAGATGCAGGACTTATTGTAGGATCAGAGCCTGATACTAGAGTTTTCAAAGGATGAGCTGTTAACATCCACAGCATAGTAAGCATGCCCTTCTTACTTTTCTTCTTTTGTCCATGTTATATTCTGCACACCTTGTTAATATGCAGAGTGTAGAAAACAAGTTACAAAGTCAAACTCTACGTGTGTTATCTCACTGACTAATGGTGCCTCAGTAATTCCTCATCTTTCCTTTAAAGATAAGTTACTATGACTAAGATTACTCATAAAATACATGCCCTACTTTACCTGAAAGTACATGGCTGGTTCCATGTACTCTGATGGTTACGTATCAGCTAGTGATTAAGTGATCAAGTACTGATAAGTGTACAAGGATGACAATCTTGAAAACTCGTTTTGATCTTTGCTATTGGCATGTTTTGGAAATGCAGATATTGTGCCTCTGTTCTTTTAAAACACAATCACTGATTAGCACTTATGTGAGTAATTTTTCTTTTAAAGCCTAGGAGAAACTTTACTCTATTAAAAAATGTTGTAGCAAATCCCTTACAAAATTCATTCACTTGCACACGAGTTGCAGCTCTACAGATCAAAAAGCTTCTGTTTGTCAAGGTCAGGAGGGGAATCTTTAACAGATGCTGAGAGGATATCTTCTATACTCAGTAGATCCATGGCAAACAAAGAATCTCAAAGGTATTTTCTTGAAACATTGCTATCTTTAAGGAAATGTTTATTCTTTTGGTTCTAGCTCATTAAATGCCTGAATTTCTTCTGTGGTCACTATTACTTCTATTACTGGACCAAGGAAACTCCTAGGTGAATTCTGGATTTATTTTTAATTAACTTTGAATTATGTTGTTTTGGTTTTTTGCTTTAGGTGCTTACAGTATGGATCACTACTCTTTTTCTTCTTGATGCAGCCAAAGGTAAGACACATAGCTGATAAAGTCCACAAGCAGCTGTTGTGCGCAGCTTACTCTGGAATAACTACATTTTAGAAAAAGAACATGTTTCAGAATGGATGTCATAGATTTCTTCATTAACAGTAATGAATTCTGTCATGCCTTTTTAACCTATTTAACCTGTCATTCTAATTCTTTAAAGGGTTCTGCAGCAAACAGAAAGGGAACTAGAGAGGTACTGTTATATAATAATGGATTCTAAAATTCTTCCAGAAGTGTTCCCTACCCATGCCGACCACCCAGGAGCATTTATGGCAACCACAACACTTTGCCAACCAAGGCACATACACTGCACAGCACCATGCAGACAACAAGAAAATAGTCCTGGTCTCAAACATCTTACCAATAGGAAAGCATAATTCCATTGGGATGGATGCACAGGGACAAAAAGGAAAAACAGTGAAATACAATCCAGAAGTTCCCTAGCATCAGAGGAAAAGAAAATGACAGAATCTCTAGTGAAGTCCTAAATTACAGCTCTGTAGAGTTTCCTCCTCTGAAAGTATTTCCAATATATGGTGCCCTACCCTGCATTTTGTACCAAGTTACAAATAGTCACGGTCTGATGCATTCTGGTTCTGTCAGCTATGCACGGTGACAGTAGCTTCTCTTTGTCTTCATTGTCTTTTTAATAACCATAAAAATGACTTGCAGTTCCACAACTGTTGTGCTATCATGGTGGATGAGAATGGCATTCAATGGCAACACCCATTTGTCATATTTGTTATTTTATTAAAGCCATCACAGAAATTGGGAAACTCCTGCCATACAGGAACAGATGACACTTCCCTGGGCTGTGCTGTGCTCCAGGCTTGCACTTAGATTCACAGAATTGTCGAATAGACTCATAGAATCATCAAGGTTGAAAAGGACCTTTAAGATCATCATGTCCAACCTTCCACCTACTACTAGTATTGCCCCCTATATTGCATCCCTCAATGCCACATGTACCCTTTTCTTGAAAGCCTCCAGAGGCTGTGACTCCACCACCACCCTGGGCAACCTGTTGCAGTGCATTATCACTCTATCAGAGAACAAGTTTTCCCTAATATCCAACCTGAACCTCCTCTGGCAAGACGTGAGGTAATTTCCTCTCCTCCTATTGACATCATCACTTCCACTGAATCCTTATGTTGATAAAATTTAAGAGAGGTGGTTTATATAAGTGGTAGAGCAACTAGTAGTGTGTTTTGCAAAAGAAGAAACAATTTACATGAACCCCGGAGCATTAGCACAAAATGAAGGACTACTCTGAGCTGGCAGCAGAGGCTGGTTTGTTCTCAGAACACAGAAAGGATCCAGGGCTTTTTTGTCTTTTTTTCTGGTGGCTGTTTTAATAATATACTAGACAAATTAATCATGCTTTCTCCTGAGCTCACCAAGCTGAGTTCTAGGCTGTTCATGATGCACAAGAACACAACAGAGCCCATAACGTAAATGAACACATGTGCCATGCTGATCTGAACCATCCATTTTCCATTTCCCTGCTATTAACACTGCCCTGTCAGCTTCTTGTCAATGGTCAAAGCTGGCCTGTTGCATTCCTAGAGCACTGACACTGTTCTTCACGTTCCTCAGGAAAGGAAGTGTGCTATGACAGGCTTGGGTGCTTTACTGACAATCCCCCTTGGTCTGGGATCCCCGGCAGAGAGCTAGCAGGTGTGCCCAGCTCTCCGGCAGCTGTGAACACTAATTTCCACCTTTACACTAGGAACAACATCTGGAACTCCCAAGTAAGAAACTCTTTCTTCTCTCCTACACCTTTACTCGTAGGTCTCCCAGCAGAGGCCCTGATCCGTATTCTACAATATGTACATGGCTCAAATCCAGTTACAGTTTAATCATTATAAATCTAGAGGCAGGCAAGGCAGTATAAAAGGAAAGCTCAGTTTTGGTCCCATGTCTCAGCTGAAAAATATATTGCAGGCCCACACACATCTTTTAACAATACATTGGTCTCAGAGACTCTGCTCATGTGAAGGTCAACACTGAGCCCTAAAAGCACGTAGGGAAGATAATAGAAGATTGGAAGAGAAAGTAAAAGTATTTATCAGAGATGGAAAGGAACGGATGAAAAATGAATGCTGGATGAAAAATTAAAGGAAAGTTAGAAAGGAGAAGAGGAAACTAAAGGAAAAAAATGGAGAATGACCATCACTGCAAATTTGACTTGGGCAAAGCATAAGGATAAATGAAGTAATATAATATTAAAAAAAATGAAAAGAATCTGCTTTGCTCTGGTTGTCTTGAAGAAAACTTGACAGTTACTTTGTTTGCTTGTTCTATTTTTTTTAATTTCATAAATGGCAGTCACAGATAATAGAGGCATTAATAACTCTTTGAGTCAGCTCAGAACAAGCACAACATCTCCAACTAAAGAGAGCCTGTGAAGTTTTAACTTGAATCAATCTTTTGCTGAAGGTCTATGTGTGCTGACTTGGTCATGACAATCTTTTTAAACTTGCCAAACTATAACAAAAAATAACTAAGTGCCAAGTTTCAAAACAACACGTTATTCAGAATTTGTTGCTAACAAAAATAATGCCTTTGCTCTTGATAAAGCCCCAAGCCTGTGATGTATGCCTGATGGCCTTCCTCATGTTGTCTGGGTTAAGATATGAATAAGATGAGAGATGAAAGTCCTATGTAAGAAAAACAGGAAGGAAGATAAAAGTGCACAAAGTCAGCCTTGCAGAAGATTTCTATTTTTGTGACCAATTTTCATAAAATCTTATTATTTACACAACACATTGTGCCAATGTATCTCAAAGCACTGAGGAAAGGATGTCAGTATCATTAGTTCAATTAACTAGGAGTTAATGTTGTTGAAGCCATTAGCTAACATTCCCAAGCAAAGCAGTTTAGGATCAGGAACAAGACCCATCTGTTCAGATTTGAGAACTAAGCCTGAACTACTGGGTTACTTTGCCCTGTATCAGTGTGCACTGGCAGAGAACATTCACATTGTTGATGTTTTGTTTGTTTGTTTTGACACAGAAAATTTCTGCTTCAAATCCCTCAACTATCAAAACTTCGAACTTTCGAGCATACAGGAAAACTCGCTTCATTATACACGGCCACCTTGCTGGAGCAGACCTGCCCTGGATAGCAAGCATGTGCAGAGTACGGTGCCATCATACTTGTATTGAAAGTGCAAAGATCCACACACACTCCCAATCAACTGCCTTATGATCCCCATCTAGAACTTACTTCTCTGTTTTCTTGTTAATTCTGGGAATGCACGAAGGGGAACCTTAGAAACAAGTTCAGCTTCACAAGACTGACCTGTTCCTACCTATGAGCACAGTGCACTTTAGCCTCTTGCTAAATGCCCTTTTGCTGCATTCACTCCTGTGGTGAAAACTGTAATTGATTGTTTTTCAATTCCTTGACAGTAATAACGGGGAAAAAGTCACTTTCTCACCTCAGCAAAAGTTCAAGCTAAACATTTCAGATTTAGTGAGGCATTTGATCTACCAAAACCAAAATGCTCTGTTCAGCAGATTGATTTGGTTTTATTTAGGCATACTTCAAAAATGAAATTGCTTCAGAATGAGCCATCAGAAAGTTCCCCTGCCTGAACTGTCTAAATAGAATTGTTTGTTTGAGATGAATTTGTAGGCAGAACAGTTCAAGCACGTGAACTCAAATTTGTGAATCCCATTAGATGATCCAAATGTATACATTTTCAAGACTACGGCTTGGACAATAAAAAATAAACCATTCTTTCCTCTTTTTCTAACTGAGGCACTAAGATAAGCTGATCCCCTATAACTAATAACAGCAGCTGACATAGAAAACAACTGAAACTGCCGTGTGTCAAACCTGCAGCATTCAAATCTACCTCCATTCTGCCTCCTTGTGTTGATTCTGTAGCAGTTATGGGGAAAAGGTGCATTTTTACCAGTCACACAAACACAGCAGGTGCATATGGCATCATTCTGCAGTACAGCTTTCTGAATAAGAGCGTAAGATTTGAGTAAGAATAAGATTTGAGTTTCTAGGACATTATTAGAAAAACACACTGCTAAATAGAATCCCCTAAGAGCAGTATAATTTTCTTTTCTTTCAAAATTAATCACCAGACAAGTCCTTAGGATAAACCTATACTCACCTGTGCCTATCCTCAATAGGAATTTGAATTGACGATCCTTATGGGTTCCTCTGAACTCAGGATAGTCTGTGATTCAATTTATCCTCACTGCTCACCAGTGGGGTTCAGCCCCACTGACAAGAGCAATCACTGCTCTCTGCCCACAGGTTGGAGCCCACTGATGCTTCACAGGCTTCTGTAAAAGCAGCACTCATGACAGGAGCGGTATGCCAGTTCTGCTAGAGTGAGATGCAAAAATCAGAACTCACAGAACTGAAGGGAGATCCCCACATAGAGTAAAACTAATTTTGATTTGTGTCTAACCTGGAAGTGTTGTACTTCACGATTGTTTCCTTCTGTTTCTATCCCTGACAGTTCATGCTTTATGTTGAAGATGTGAACTGCATTCTGACTGACTGGAGAGGTGGTTCCAGTGGTTTGTACACGGACGCAGTCAACAATGTCCGCATTGTGGGGGCTGAGCTGGTCTATCTTGTGAACTTGCTTGAGGTACAAGTGGAACATGAATGGCAGTGGGTCGGTGTCATCTTTAGATTTGATACAACACGGTCAGAAAGTACAGAACGCAGTACTACAGCTGAAAATGTTACAAAAGGTCTCTAATCCTGCACAAACTGAAATGCTCCTCAGGATCTGGGTGGTGGAGAACCCGGATAGCACAAAGCCCACTATATTCACCCAGAGGGCATGGCATAGAAAAAGGTGCTGAAAACCATAGAACACTGTAGTCACTGAACAGACAGGTTCAGGGCTGGATATGAAGAGTCAGAGGAGTCCTTCACCTTTTGGATAAGCGTAATGCTACTTATGAGAGCAATGTTCAGGACAAGGGGGAATGGCTTTAAACTAAAAGAGGGGAGATTTAGGTTAGATGATAGGAAGACATTCTTTACTCAGAGGGTGATGAGGCACTGGCAGTTCTGTTCAGAAAAGCTGTGGATGCCTCATCCCTGGAGGCATTCACGGCCAGTTTGGGTGAGGCCCTGGGCAGCTGATATTGTGGGGGCAACCCTGCCTATGGCAGCGGGTTGAAATTAGATTGGTTATAAGGTTCTTCCAACTCAAGTCATTCTGTGATTTACCAAATTCCCTTTTCCTCATTTCTATCTAAAATGCCCAATCCTAGTGGAGGTTACTGTCTTCAGAGAGTGAGTTGGGAACAACTTCTCTTCCACACCTTGGTACAAATCCACCTCCCACAGCAGTAACTTCCCACCTACAGCACTCTCCTTCATCACCTGCCCTTCCCAGTGCATACAGATCGCATTCTGGACACGAGGGCATGCTGCAATGCCTTTGGCTTGTATCTCCCATTTAGTACCCTAGTTTTCTTTATTTTCCTTTCATCTTCACAGAAAGACTATGGATACTCTCCTGCCAATATTCATTTCATTGGTCACAGTCTTGGAGCACATGCTGCAGGGGAGGCAGGAAGACGAAAACCTGGCATTGGAAGAATAACAGGTACTGAAGCTATTTCAACTGTAGAAGATTTATATTTTAATTCTGCTTAAAAAAGAACCAAAGAGTCACTGCTACCTAACAAATATGTTACAGACACTGTGCTGCTTTCCTGTAACTGTACAGCCAGCACGACATCACTCAAAGGAAGCCATTGCACATCCTATCCCATGCCACTCATTTCATGTCACCTGTCACAGCCCTGAGAAAGGCTGGACTGCAACAGGAAGGTAAATCTCTCCCTACTGGAGCTAAATATATGTTACTTTGCACAGGTCCCCAGAGCACACTGCATATAGTCTTTAGCAATACCAAAGAGCAGGAAGAAGATACTCTACAACATGTGAAATAACAGACTTGTGTAACGTTAGCAACTCTTTATCATGTTTGGATCCAGGAGTCCACTCCAACATAGTATTTCAGTAGGTAAGACTGAAAATCTGAAATGAAACTTTAAACCCCCTGCATTTGCTATACATCACTATGTATGTCTATGTATTCACTGTATGCCACTGTGTCATTATTGCAAATAACAATAGCTTTTTGACCAAATAAAAGTTCTCAGACAAATATGCAAGCTTAGAGTAACATATCAAAATTTAACATCTTTCAGTGATGTGCAAGAAAACACCAAGGAAACAAAACAAACTTATAGCCACCACATCTTGTGACATTATTCCCCTATAGTAAGCCAACCATCCATCCAATTTTTACTGCACCGAAATGCCTCTAGACACCATTCTATTAAAACCTGGCTTGTTATTTTTCTGGCTGTCACACATACACATCAACACAAAATAGATTTTTACCTGAGGAGTTAAGAAGGAAATGCAATGACACATTTAGAAAATAACTGAACTTACTATTTACGTTATTATTCCCATCTCCTTTCATTTAGGTTTGGATCCAGCTGGACCTCTTTTCCAGTACACTCCCCCAGTGGTTAGGCTGGATCCTTCAGATGCAAAATTTGTTGATATAATTCACACTCATGCTGGTCATCTCTTCTTTGACTTTGGTAAGTTTTTACATAAAGGTCAATGCATACTCAGAGGCAGACTACAGCATATCATAAGGTAATCAGTCTCCACTGATTCTGGATGTCCCATCCCTGGAGGTGCTCGAGGCCATGCTGATCTGATGGGAGGCTACCAGTCCCTTCCAACCTAGGCCATTCCATCATTGTATGATTCTACATATTTCAGCTCCTGGGATTCTTCAGACTTGTGGCCACCTGGATTTTTACCCAAATGGTGGGAAGAAAATGCCAGGATGCAGGCAGCTTCGTGTACCTCCAGCAGTTCGGAACATCAACGACCTTATGAGAAGTATGTATGTTGTAAAGAAGTAATGCCTCATTAGAACTGCGTCTTGAAAGGCTCAGCCAAGGCAAAGCCTTTTGAATGCATCTATTAATTAAATATCTTAGATTCGGATAATCCAAAAATGAGTGTTTTCATCCCAGTATTACTGCCATCAGACATATCATTAGCAGCTTTAGTGTCTCCAAAGGGAGCAGCACAAGCTTGAAAACATTGATGATGATCAGATGACTACTGAACTGATAGCTGATGCTCTCCAAAGAAAGCTGGGCAGTTACTAACAGTTATCCTGGGATAAAGCAAAATAGATGTCCCAAATCCTGTCTTCTAACCCTAGGTTATAGAAATAAGAATACCTGTTATTCATAGCTACATGTTTTGAAATCTCAACCACTAGTAGGTATCTGGCTCTCAAAAATGCTTGGTATCAACTGGTTTGAAAAGTTAGGAACCAAGATGGAAAGCTGCTATGCACAAAATTAATTGGAGGCAAAACACCTTCAAAAGTGACAAAACAAAAACATCTCATTTTTCAGCAAAAATTAAGTATTTCACTATGCTTCCTTCCACATTTTGTCATAAAAATCAAACCCAGCTCTACTGAACACAAGCAGATGGAGTGGGTTGTTCATGCAGCTCCTAAAAATAGAGACAGTGTTAACTCCTGCCTCTCATATTAACCTTGCTTTGTGCATATCTCTTCTGTTTGATAATATTTACATGTACGCAGTGCTTTTATGTAAAAAAGTGCTTTAGAAATGCTATTTAGTAAGTTCTTTCTACAGCTTTTGATGCGAGAAGGAGAGAGGTATTGTGTTTCCTTTGTGTAGATGTTAAGTGAATCTGGCACTAGCACAAAGTAAGCTTACCATAAGGGCTGAGATTTTTAAATTTAAAGCACAGACTCTTTCGAATTGGTTTGAAAGAAGGAACTATAAAGAAAACATATTCTGGAAATTCAGGAAACCTTGATGATCCAGGTTGTTTTTGAGAAACACAGATGAAAATACGTTTCTGTTTGTTTCTTCTTTCCCTCTGTGTAAAGAACAAAGGGTTGACCCGTTGATGCCTGGTCAACATCAACCACTTTGTCTTTAAGATGCGTAAATATTGATGAGCAACTATAGGTGAAATTTTGATTTCACTAGAAACTGTGCCTCCTTGCAATTACTTCAGTGCCTCCACGACATCACCCTATAATTGAGCAAAGTCCCCCCACGCTGCAGCAGAGTGGAGCCTATTTTTATAGCTTGCCATTGGTATATTGTGCTTCTATAAAGGAGAGGCTTCAGACTAATAAAGACAGTACTTATAACAAGGAATACAAATTACACTTTCTTCTGCTCTGCATTAGCAGCTCACAAATTTCTCTCAGAGGGCAAAATGCACTTATTTCAAATAAATCTGACAAAATCGAGGACACGCTGCCAAGCATCTTGCTTTTCTGAGCATTTCACAGAATCACCAATGTCAAATGACCGCAGATTTTTCAGAGCTTAAAAACACTGAAAGCCACTGAAGTTAAAATAATTACTATAATTATCTTTAATTCTAGAAGTGAGTGGAAACTGTGGTTTTACAAATTACCACGTTGTGATAATGGTAAGCAAATGAAAACTACTTCATAGTAACTACTGTATGTTTTGCAAATGCTGCAACTATGAATTATTCCAGTCTTTGAAATATGAAAGGGAAATTCTGCTAAATTCTCCTCTGTTCTCATGTAAAGTTCAGGCAGTCAAGTGCGTGCACTGCAGGACTGGGGGCTGTGAGAGGGCTGTCAGGTGCATCTCCACCTCCATGGGCTGTCACCTGGCACATACATGGACACCACCTTGCTTTTCTCCATCAGAAAGACAGATGTAGACACAAGTGTGCTTTGTGCCATAAAGACCCACATATGCTGTTCTGGCCTGGATTTTATGGTAGATATGCACCTTTAATCTTATCTACACGGGGTTTTTCCCAGCATATAGATCTCTTGGATGTGGACATAAAAGAAGCCTCCAGTATTATGCTGAAAGTATTATCACTCCAAATGGGTTTGTTGGCTACCAGTGTGAAACGTACCGAGCTTTTATATCGGTGAGTATCAGGCATGTGTTTATGAAGGAGGTAGGGTTACAGCCCTGCTCTTCTTTCCCTAGTAATTTCTGAGATGGCTTCTGGACTCCAGGTGATATAATCAAGGCTGGCTCTGCAGGCCTACTGACTGCCCTCATCCTCACAGCCAAAAAATGGGAAAAATATAAAAGCAGCAAACCCCAAAACAGATCCAGAAGAAAATGAAGACAATAAATGTGCACACTCTAAGCAGTTACAAAAAAAAGATGAAGATATAAGAAGGCTAGCAAGGATTGGATTCAGCTGTGTAGGTTTACATCGAGGGGCATGGGCTTGCTGAAGGCAGCCCGCTTAAACCAGTGCTACGCAAACCTGCTGAAACCCATCATCAAGAGGATAGGTACTGGATTTTGTCAATGGCTAAACATCTGTAAACAACAGTAAACACCCACAGCATTTAGAGCAGAGGAGACAAATATTTATACAGCACAGCAGTGCCACACACAAAACAGCCCCAAATGATGCACAGTGGAATTAGTTACCACCAGATGTCCCCAAATAGCAGCAATCCCAAAGCCAGTTCTTTCAGTCCTACTGTTCAGCATGACACCATATAGAATGGATATGTTATGTTATGGGACTTCTCTTTGGTCATTCCTGGCTGTGCTCCCCTCAGCTCCCTGTGCACCCTCAAACCCTTGCTGGCAGGGCAGCACGAGAAGCTGAAACATCCACGGTTCTGTATAAGCACTGCTCAGCAGCAACGCCAACGTCAGTGCTACCAACATTATTCTCATCCTAGATCCAAAACACAGAACCATACCAACTACTAGGAAGAAAATTAAACTCTATCCCAGATAAACCCAGGACATTCTGAGAAGTTGCCGTTACTTGTAGAGATTTTGTCTCATAACTTGGAAGTCTGATGTAACTCGGGTCTTGAATAAAAGCCAGAACTCTGTGCAATTTAGCAATGAGAGGGAAATGATTTTGCCAACTGAAGAATAGACAACAGATGATGCTCTATCTAGTGCTCAAATACCCAAGGATCCACACATCCAAATTCTTAAAGAACCTCCAAGTAACTGAATATCACAAAGATTTTTTTTTCAGCTGAAATTGAATACATGCTTACCCTCATCTCAATGTTCAACTCACATAGTCTGATTGATTTTACAGAAAAAAAAAAAAAAGCAGACAGAGCAAATAAAATGCAGCCCCAATCTTCGGTGTTCATATGCTTAAATATCATTGCCATTTGAATGAGACACTCAGCTGGAGCTTCCTTGCCAGTGTGATACCCACCCCACAATTATGAGGCCACCTCAGTGGACCCTACGGTAGATAAAAATGTTCCCTGTGTCATAGATCAGGCAGTAAGGTACTGCATACAGTAAGGCCTTTATTCATGATCTCTACAGAAACATAATTAGGCCAGATTTGCAACTCATTTTTTTCAGGTTTGTTTGGTTTTTTTTGCATGATGAAGCAAGCAGGCTGACCACCTCAACTCCTTTCTCCACTACTCTGATAAATACTGAAAATATATTAAGAACTCAGAAAAAAAACCACCTTTTCAAATAAACTGGGGGAAAAAAGACTGAAACACCCTGTTTTACTGTACTTTAAGCTTTGGAATTAAAATGGATTACATCTTTTAACAGACACTTGTTTTTCTCCAGGGAGCCTGCTTCCCATGCCGGAAGGGAGGATGCCCACTGATGGGTCATTATGCTGATGTGTTTTCTCACAAAACTGAAAAGGAACAGCAAAAGGTTTATTTAAACACAGGACCCCACCCTCCATTTGCTCGTAAGTGCTGGATTTTGGGTGCTGAATTAGGAGTGGCAAGGAAGTCTACAGTAAGAAACACATTTCTACAGAAATCCAATGGAGAAAGAGATGCTCAGAACAATATCTGGAGTTCTATATATGTTAGGAATATGGAATAACAGCTCTGTTTGGAGAAGGGCGAGATAATTATGAAATTGATGCCTGTGGCTTAGAAACCCTGCCAAATTTTGTTAACTGAACAGTGGATTCAAAAGCTCTGTACAGCTGGAGGTGGAGGAATGTTGTGCTGAAAGCGCAAAATTTCAAAGTAAAAAACTTGTGATGTTGTCATGGACAAAACCTTATAAACAAGATAATTTCAGGGTATTTTTGCAAAGCTCATCAAGACATTATGACAAGGGGTAATAAGGAAGTGTGATTTTAATTGTGATTAGTTTGAAAGAGCTGGGAAATAAGGAAATTTGTAAATAAGATGTAATCCATCCCAGATGATGAACTCCAAGAGTGATACATGAGTCTTTGAGAACATCACTCAGTAGGCACTAGAATACAAAAGCAAAACTAAGTACAAAAAAAAATCTTATGTATCATCTTGAGAAAAGCAAAAAGAGAAAAAAATGAATATGAGCACAGAGAAAGTAGGCATTCCTTAAATCTGAATGAATACACTGATGTCATCATCTGCACTGTTGGGCTTATATAAAGCACGGCCCAAAGTGGGTGAAGAGATTCTCCTTTACTGGTGCACGCTAAAGCTGGTACAAGAACTTCCCAAATGTGGTTACTTGAAATCAATGCGCACTACTGTATGTGAGGCTATGCTTCTGCCTTGGGATGACACGGATGTTACAGGATCTTCTGAGGTTAAGATGATTTAAGAAAATATATAATTCTTCCTATTTCAGAGCTATAGCACTATCTGTGAGACCCCCCCCAAATTCTCCAAAGCGCAAGAAATTACAAATTGAAAAGTGAGGCAGCATGGAGTGTAGCCCAAAGCAAATTACTTAGCAAGGCCAGGAGGCCAGTAAAGGTTAGAACTGTAGTTTACACCACTGTCGAGGAAATTACTATCACCAGAATCACACAGAACTGACATTTGCCTTAATAAAGACAGAGGTATTTGTCAAGCACATCTGTGCAAACCTCTCCTCTCCCTGAAAAACACTGAAACATATGAGAGAAAGAAGCCCCTTCACAACCACCATCTACTTCCTTTTGTTTTCAAAGGCTGGCGAAAAGAGATACGTGTCAGACTATCTGCAACAGAAACCATGAAGGGAAATATAGATGTAGCCTTGACTGGGACTAATGGGATCAGGAGAAAATACACAATTGACAAGTAAGTGCAACATGACTGGGGGAAAACTTGTTATTATACAGAGTTTATAATATATCTTTTTAGGTCTCATCTTGTGCTAGGTGATCTGTGACCTACGCTGGTAATGAAAGAGCTGATCAGCGGTCAAAGGTCTCCATGCTACAGATTGTGGTCAAAATGTGCTTGCTGCTCTCTCTCTCTCTTTCTGTGTGTTTTCTTTTCTTGCTAGATAAAGGTTAGCACAGCAAGGAGGGTGAGAGCAGAGTTCTGTGGTCCAAGGGGAGGCTACTGCTGGTCTCAGATGTGTCTTCACAAATCCAAAATGGCAAAGCTGAACGATGTACAATCATGTGACCATTGCTTGTTAGCAGTCAGAAAGGCACAGGAATTTAAACAACTGACTTATTTGCTTGCTTCATTGTTGTGCTTTTCTTTTGGCAGGGGAACTTTCAAGCCAGGCAACACATACTTGAACTATATTGATACAGACATTTCAGGGAACATTTCAAAAGTTGAGTTTCGCTGGAATAAGCATCTAGGTCATGTACACCAAGGCTGTATGGGAGCAGAAGAAGTCATAATAATATCTGGGGGAGATGGAAATGTGTGAGTATACAGCCTAATTGTGTTTTGTTCTGTGGCTCTGGGGAGGAAAAAAAAAGAAATAGAAAAGTCCTGTTGTGCTGACAACCGTTTCCTCACATTTTTCTCCCATTGCCAGGTCTGCGTTCTGTGGCCATGGATCCGTGCAGCCGAGCACATGGCAGACCCTGATGCTTTGCTAGGGCTGGGGGAGAAACGCCACAGCTCTGGCTATGGAAAACCATATTGCTTCAGCCAGACTATTGGTGAAGCTCCTCCAGCACAGATGGAAAATTTACACTGCCCAATACAAAATCTCTATTTCAAAATCAGTGCTGTCTGCTTGTATCCAAACAGGGGAGCTACACCAGCCTTCCCCCTGAAGAACAGCATTTTAGCAACACATCCAAAAGACTGCTTAGGAGCTGGGACTGTGTACGAAGTTGCACAGTACATCCTGGGAAACTCAAGCATCACAGATTGCCACCTGTCAAGTAGGACAGCTGAACGCACATTCAAAAAAAGACATTTGATGGTTGCCATTTTCAGTCACCTGCTCTACTGAGCTCTGCTGAACACTGGATGAGCTGGGGCTCTTTCTTTGTACCTGGAATGGGTACCTTCTTTATGTGCTACTAATAATGTACTATTGAGGATATTAAATTTTCTGGCAGCCTTCAAAGTAACAGGTTTCTTTTTACCAATGAAGCTGAATTTTCCAGCTGTACTTCACCCTTCAAAAGGGCAAAGACCTTTAAGACCTCCCATGGTTTTAGGGAAATTATATTAGAAAAATATTTAGGATCATAGTTATTCTCCCTGTGTAGGGAACATACCATATTCTTTTCTGAGATACAAAACTTCCCCACGTTGGAATTCTGATGATGCTGAAGTTAAGCCTGAGCTGCAGTGTTTGCATTACTATAACACTGCCCTCCCAAACTTGAGAACATTTTTATTATATTGTCTAACAAATCAGACTACCAAGACTATATTTTGTTTCAATATAAGCTTCCCACAAAATTCCTTTTGGATTTTGTTACCCACTGTGATTTAGGAAATACATCTAATTCTTAAACTTCGTAATAGGTTTGTCATTTGGGCACAGAAATCCTATGTGAGAATCATGTTGGGCAACACTGCTCTGCCCCATCCCAACAACTGGCTATTCCAGAATAGTTCCACTGAGGTTCACCAGGAGGTGTTAACGACATGAGTTACACAAGGCTAAACATGAGTGATAAACAGGTGTGCTTTAAATTAAGCAGCAATAATTCTGAGATAACAGACTCCAGTCATCTCTTCTGAGACTTGCTTAGGAGGTTTGTGGCAAAGTTCACAAATATCTGCCCACCTTCTCAGGTTCCCTGCCTCGGTACACTCACCATCTCCACCCATAAGGTGAATAGGATCCAGAATGATCCATGCAGCGAGCTCATTCTCCTCCTCCCGTTAGGCAAACTACCCAGGCGAAATCCCCTTCTGCTCTGTGTGGGGACTCTCCTTCTTTGCACTTCCCTGGAGAAGTACAAAACAACCCTGCAGGTACTTGTGCATAGCTGGGAAATAGCTGTTATCAATAATTACACCATCTTGGGCACCTGTCATAAATCAGGCATGGCTCTCTGCCCAAGTTTCACAAACAAAGCAGAGGGAGGGAGGGGGAAAGGAATATTTATTCTCCCTTTCTTACACTCAGGACCTTAAGCAAACAAAATGTAATATTTTTCCTGAGGTCACAAAAAGTGTGTGCAGCAGGGCCAGAAGCCATGCAGGATCACCTTGTTTAATGAAGGCCATGGCCTCTTACAAGAAGGAGATAACATCCTGTTGAATTCAGGAGTTTTTGAAAGACAAGCCTTTCCTCTTCTCTCTATACTCAGCTGTGCCTTCATAGCAGTTCTAAACATTAATTAGATGTTGTTATGAATAATAAAACAGATTCTTCCTTTTAAAAAATACCTTTCATTTTGTTTAATTTTAGCTGTTGATTTCAGCAGCTTTCTGATGAAACATAGCAACTCATATGCGCTGATTAGGCCACTTAAAAATAAGCATTTTCTCACCCAATCAGTGGAGCTAAAAATAAAACACAATACTTTCCCCTCCTTGTCTTATGCCACTTTGTATTCATGTTATAAACTCTATCTTGAGTTAACTTTCACTCTTTGGTATAGTAAGCAGCAGCACTGCACATTTTTCCTGACACATCTATAAGCAGAGAAGAAAGGCTTTTTTTTATGAGGTAAAGATGAAAAACAGCTCTGTGTTGCTGGTTTAGTTTAGCATCTAGTATTCCTTTCCTCAATTTCTTTTTGTAATTAAAAATGAAAATTGTTGTTTTGTACAGAAAATTACTTTGTACTGTTGGAGCTGGCCAACATAATGCAGGGGCTTGATATTTCACAAAACGCCTTTAAAAACAACTGGCAGAGGTGATCGTTTCATATCTTCATAACAAAGTAAGCCAACTTTTTATCATAAATTAAATTGCATCTTCAAAATGTCAAGTGAGATGTGCAGGTTGAAATGTTTGACTGTCAATCTGAAAGGTGGTCTTTTTTAATCAAATGCACTTTGTTTGTCTAGGGCTTTTAAGGATGTATGATGTTAACCATCCAGTCTTTTAAATTATTTAAATATTCTGTAAAACTGTGAGTGATTCAGAATTACAATAGACATTTCATCTATTCTAACAAGTGTTTGTTCACTACAAAAACTATACCAGAGGTAAACTACTTACAAAGCCACTGTAAAGTACTCAGCCTTGGTCCATCTTTTGTCACAGGAATAACACCAAAGAAACAAAATCCAACAAACCTCTTAGATCTTTTACAGAAGAAAGGAGCAGCAATGTATGCAGTCCATAGTACTAACTCTCAGTTCTGCTTATAGCATGTGCATTTGCCTTATAATTAACATGAGAAAAAAAATAATTTTAGAAGGAACTATACTTTTCAAAAAGTGATGAAAACAAGAGCAGTTTGTATCAGAGGAATACAATAAAATCTTGGAATCATTTAGGCTGGTAAAGACCTTTAAGATCAAGTCCAAACACATCTAATGCTACAAAACCACCACTAATCCATGCCCCCAAGCACCATGTGTGGATACACATCTCTTATACATCTCTAGAGATGGGGACTCCACCAACTCCCTGGGCAGTCCATTCCAATGGCTAACCACACTTCCTGTGAAGAAATTCTTCCTAATAACCAATCTAAACCTTCCCTGGTGCAACTTGAGCTTGCCTTGTGTCCTCTATTTCAAGCATAGCATAATTCCTCTTTCCAAAAAGTTGAGTTTATCCAAAAGTCCCCCATAAATACATAGGTTACTACAAAAGTATATATATATATCCTGAAGTATTATATACCCTGTATATTTCCATGGAAGAAACAGATACAAAGAACACAATCACGCTATTTGACAGAGAAAATTCTCAGCTACAAAACACTATTTTTCAGAACTGCTACCACCATTAGCTCTTTCACCCTGGTACATCTGTCTTTTCAGATAGCATTTCTGAATGTCTGTCACCTCATTCTCTTCTCTTGCAACTCCTCATGAACATTTTTATAGTGAACTTATTTATCCTCACTCCCATCCTACACTTCCCTCAGTGATAATTACTGAATACTTTTTCTCCTACAATACGCTCCAACTTCAACTTCCAAAGATGTGCTTGTTTTTACAGAAGGTAAAATAAAATCTTTGGAGCAGGATTTTCCTGAGATCTTCTGTGCAACCCATGGTTCTAGTGGGGACATTTGACATTGTTCTGGAACCAAAGCACAAATCCTAAAATGGGCATTCCCAACACTTATTTCAGTTATCCTTCCAAAACCAAAGCTGGCTGGGATTGAAATTGCCACTGGGAGCCTAAACAAGTGTTCACTGACCCATTGCCAAGTTTGACTACACAGACTGTAGACAGACTTCTTCCTTTGTATTAACACAGTACCAAGGGCTTGACAATTTCAAATGGGCTCCAGGCTGCTTCAAGTTATGCTCATTCTAATCATTAAGGAGCAGATGTTGATAGCACGCCCATATCTACCTTTGACAGCTTTCATCCATGGTAAAACAGAGCCAGGAATATGCCATTTATCTTTCAGTATCAAGGAGCTAAAATATTCCAGAAGGAGCATGCATCATTGCCAACTCTGTCAGGAACAGAGCACACCTACATTGCTGTGTTACCGGAAACCATTCCTCTCCTCCCAGCTGCCACAAGATTGGATGGGGCAAGCACCTTGCAACACCAGAAACATAAGCAATGCCTGAAAGTACAGGTTGGCATTGGTGTCAGACCTCTTTCTTCCCATACATTTTTGTCACTAGGGAATCTCAGGGTATAACATGCAGAGTCCAAGACAAAACCTAAAGCCATTCTTTTTGTTTCTGCTGCTTCCATCAAATAATTTAAATGTTTCAGTGTTAATAGGAAATCAAGCATTCAAAAGAATAACTTCACTCTTTTCTCTTTCAGTTCTGTCCATTAGATGGAAAGAAAGGCTCTCTTTCCCTACTGATTTTCCCCCTCTCTATCCTGGGTTACTTCCATCACCATCTCTAAAATTCTCCCCAGTTGCTATTTTCTTAACAAGATACTATGGTCCATAACTCTTCATCTAACAAACACAGAAGTTAACATTCTCTCTGCTTGCTTTGAGTGATTCAGTGACGAGAGAGCATGTATTATGGAAGGTCATAAATATTTATCATCTCCAAAATATTCCTTTTATTGCTGCTGTGGATCACTGAAGGGGATGAACTAAGGGAAATTGGTTTTGCAGCTATTCAATATAAAGTTTGTTCACTTGATCAGAATGAACACATCAGAGTTAAACAATAGAAATATCAAGAAATTCTTTTATTCATGGCTCTCCCACTCAGAAACTAAAGGTAAGATTCTCCAAGACGAGTGTTTTTTGTCTGTGCATATTAGCAATTCCCTAGGGTTTGCAGTAACAAAGTACTTCCAGGTGACCTCCTTTCAAGCTAAGAAATTCATTAACCAGCTTCAATCTAAAATTGAAATAAGAGAGAAAAACGTTGCTTTTAGAATTTTATTCACTTATCTTGTTATGAAAGCCTTGGTAATTTATACATCACTGCACTTGAAGCGCAGATGCTGAGTTTCCTTTGGAAAACGTGATTTTCTGAGTGTTTTGATTCCTACTAATGTGAAGGCCACTACTATCAGAATAAATGTCCTTGATAATTTTCAGGCTGACATTTATAAAACCATCTGGATCCATTCACTTACATGTTGTCAGAAGCACCTGCAGAAGCCAGAATTTTCTTCCCATCCATAAAAATCTGCTATTCCTCTGAAGTCATAAAAATAGACCAAGAAAAACTGGCCATTCCTAAAACATGATTGATCTACAAAATGCTGTAACATGGGCTATAAATTCTTCTGGTATTAACTCCAGCTTGTCATTCCGGGGTACATTAATTTAACCTGTTCCACTGCATATGCCCTCTGAAATTCACTGACACTGAGACCATGTGGAAAACATGTATGACTTTCCCATATTAGCCAGGCTACGTCTACTCTACACACAAAACAGATGAAAAAAAAAACTGAACAATGCAGTTACGAACTTAAATTCATGCTAAATGCCTTTTGCAGTTGTTTGTGTACATTTGTCCCAGGAGGAACTGCATCTCCTGTTTCTTAAGAGCCCACACCTCTGCTCATTTGTAACTGTGGTGCTGGGGGGCTCTGCAGCACCGGTTAACACACACAAAGTGCCCACTCTGTGGAAATTGCAGCTAAATATCTGAGCAAACCCTGCAGTTATGGCCTCCTAACAAACATTTTAAAGGGGCCTGGTTTTCACACAGACATGTTCAGTAATTTTGGAAGATCTTTCATCACTAATAGAAGCACTAGGTGTACTAGCTGCTTTCCATACAACCTACATGCCAATACATTGACAAATGGGGCACATGACAGTCCTTATCTCTTTTATGTGGCTCCCCAGCCTTATGCCTTCCCAGACTTATCTAAAGAGCTCTATCTGTCTGATACAGGTCCCGTAAGTGCTGCCTAATTTCTATCTTCCAGTCACTGTGTGTAAATTAGACTGTAAATCACTTCTTATTAGCTAGATCTCTTCTAGCTAATTTCTTATCTGAAATTACATACTTGTCTTCAGTCTGAGTGGTAATTACATATGAGATCCCAGCACCGACCAACCACTGCTTCCTCAAAATTCCTCTGATAATTCTCTCTAATATTTACCATGTACACGGCGGTGGTTTGCACCACTTCACCAGCAAACAAGAATCAAACCACAGTCCAAACCTTCACGTAGGCTCTGCAAAGAGCGACACGTACTCATAACACGTTTTTCTACAATGAATGTCAAGCGTGTTATCATACAGAAAAAATGCATCTTTGCTGGTATTTCTGAATTTATATCATCTCTCAAACAACGCACCTATCTCAAGACCACAAACTGGTTTTTCACATAAACCTTAGGTTCAACCCAGGTTACTTCCTGCCCCTAAGCATTTTGTTGAATCACTCCCTGTGTAAGGACGAATGTCACCAGTTCAGTTGCATGAACAGGTAGGTGACTATTGCAGCACTCATCCTGTAGGTAGCAGTACAGCGATTTGAGGGCTTGCCCATGAGCTGAAAGACCTGGGTTGTGACACACTCCTGAACTCATTCAGACTCACGGCCTCCAGGGCAAGAGGAGAAACTGGGACTCATATGATGGACAAGGCATCTAGTCACTAAGCCATTACAGAGAAACAGATACAGACGATTATCACCATCCTCTCTTTCTCCTCCTGACACAGTACTGAATGAAAGTGCCTGTGATTTATCAG